TGTGATTGAAAACTGCTTCACTAGAGCTTCGTAGAAGATGAAATTTTATTTATTTATTTATTCAACATCTTATGGCTTCCAATGGCAGCCAAAACGGGCAGATGTGGATGATAGCCAACCATGGTAAAAGAAGGAGAAGATTATATACATGAAAAGGAAACAGTTTAAAAAGCTATATTGATTAATTTTTTTTATTATTACGGTGCACTCAGTCATCAGCAGGCCCTCAGATTCACTTTAAATTCTTTCAATGATGCAGAAGTCTTCACTGAGTCGGGAAGTTGTAGCCACGCACAGTAGTCACAGAGTCAAGAGACACTTTGTTTCTGGTTGAGCGGCCCGAAACAAACCAGTTATAAGGCTTTATATGTTCAGGAACACAACCCAAGAGCATTCGATGAACCAATATACAGAGGCAAGTTAGTCGACGTTGCTCTAACGGAGTAGTCTGAGCTAATAAGTACAACTCATTGGAGGGAAAGGAAGGTTTCTTCGAGAACAAAATTTTTAGAACTTTCTTATGATGAACTTCAATGGAATTGGATAAGACCTTAGCTAGGCCACACCAGCATATTCAAACAATGGAAGGAGATAAATTATAGCTGAACGGCACGGAATAGAGAGATGTTTACAATGACTTTTAATATAGCCAAGAGCACGGCTGACTTTATTACAAAATGTAATGATAATTATTATTATTATTATTATTTTAATAACGAAGGTACGTGTTGGGTCGTAAGTATCCACGCAAACACACATCCAGTCAAAATAAGGCACTTGTCAAAGTATCCGAACGTTTTCGGTCCCTTCTCATCAAGGATTATACAGGGAATGGCTCAAGTTGGAAAGACTAAAACTTATATAGCGTAAAGATATGAGATAACAACACTCATGACAAGGTGGGAAATTATCAAGTTCAGCACGACACAAAACTGGAAGGAAATAATAATAGTGACAAGAACATAGTGAACAAATTAAGTTACATTGTTAACACCTCGACGAGGAGTAACACCAAACAATTGTAGTGACAACACATTTTCTTTCTGTACGCAAAGTTCAGGATCTAACTTACGGATATACAAAGCTTCTAACACAGCCAGATGCAACGCACATCTACCACGTGACAATATTGAGAACACATTATCACTGTACAACTCACGACAATTGGCACGGGCTGACAGATGTTGCTTGATGGACGAAGTGCGATTCTTAGCTCCGTTGGGTGTTGTCTCCTCCAATGTCCCGTCATCTCGCCTCTTCGCGGCATCACCACTATCCGTCTCTCTGCTTTTCCGCGGCCTTCCACGTTTTCTGACACTAGCCGTTGTGTGCGCGATGCCCAGGATGTTCTACCTACCCTTAGTAAAAGTAACCTTATCTATTTCTTTCAAAGCCGACAATGTGAAGATCGGTATGTAGGTAGAACCCTTCAGCACCTGGGCGCGCGCATTCGTCAACATGTGCCGTTAAGTTTTGTTCCGCTTGATGCGCGTGAGTGTCGTCCTCGCCGTGGTCGTCCTCCAAAATGTGCTGTCATGTCCATTCGTGGATCTTCCTCTTCCTGTGAAGATGTGACTGCATGCCTGTCTTCCTCCGCGTGTGTAGGGCAGGGTCCAGCTGAGAACAGCGTGAAAGCTGGTGAAAGACCGACACGTAAACCACCGAAATTGACAAAGGATCTGTCTGCGTCGGGAAGGGTTACGCGAAGCCAAGTAAAAATACGGACTGGTGAGGACGCACGTACAACGACAACGGAAGTGACAACAACAGTCAATATTCGAAAACGTGGTAGACCGCGAAAACGAACCTCAATATCGAACACCGGACAAGTTGGAGTAAGAAGATCAATAGAAATCCGCAATGGAGGAGACGTAGCTGAAAGGCCACTGGGCATCGCGCACACAACGGCTAGTGTCAGAAAACGTGGAAGGCCGCGGAAAAGCAGAGAGACGGGTAGTGGTGATGCCGCGAAGAGGCGAGATGACGGGACATTGGAGGAGACAACACCCAACGGAGCTAAGAATCGCACTTCGTCCATCAAGCAACATCTGTCAGCCCGTACCAATTGTCGTGAGTTGTACAGTGATAATGTGTTCTCAATATTGTCACGTGGTAGATGTGCGTTGCATCTGGCTGTGTTAGAAGCTTTGTATATCCGTAAGTTAGATCCTGAACTTTGCGTACAGAAAGAAAATGTGTTGTCACTACAATTGTTTGGTGTTACTCCTCGTCGAGGTGTTAACAATGTAACTTAATTTGTTCACTATGTTCTTGTCACTACTATTATTTCCTTCCAGTTTTGTGTCGTGCTGAACTTGATAATTTCCCACCTTGTCACGAGTGTTGTTATCTCATATCTTTACGCTATATAAGTTTTAGTCTTTCCAACTTGAGCCATTCCCTGTATAATCCTTGATGAGAAGGGACCGAAAACGTTCGGATACTTTGACAAGTGCCTTATTTTGACTGGATGTGTGTTTGCGTGGATACTTACGACCCAACACGTACCTTCGTTATTAAAGTATTATCCGCCTCCGACTTCTTGTAAAATTATTATTATTATTATTATTATTAACTGGTTTGAGGGAAAGAGACAAACGGGTATTATTATTATTATTTTAATTTTTTTAATTATTATTATCTATATGAGCCGACCAGGACATGGATGAATCGAACATTACCCCTAGGTGTTTGTGCTCCTTTACCGTCTGAATTTCTGTGGGTGAATTGGGAAAGGTGAACTTAAACATTGAGGCAGAAACGTTTGCCTGAAGCCTTCAACTGGACATCCAGGTGACAATCATATTTATCGCGTCTTGCAACTCTGACTCAAACTGTTTGACAGTTTTACAGTGGCACAAAGCAGCTGTATCGTCAGCAAACAATGACATTCCAGAAACTTGACTTGGCAGATCATTAAAACATACAAAACAAAAAGCAATGGTCCAAGAATTGAGCCCTGAGGCACCCCCGACAGCACGGGTAGCTTTGGAGAGTCTGCTCCCGACAAACTGGCTTCTCCCAGAAAGATAGCTCTCTATCCACTTTAACGGTGTGTCAGAAATGTTAAAGATGACTTGAAGCTTCCTCAAGAGACCTCTATGCCACACTGTGTCAAACGCCTTGGCAAGATCGAAGAAGCAAATGCCCATGTACAACTTTTCTGCTCTTGCTCCGATAACGTCCTGTACAAGGCGAGTCAGCTGCAGTGAAGTCGAGTCTCCACGTCCAATGACGTTGTGTCGATCCAGTGCTTTGCTGAAAAGAACTAATTTCGTTGTTCTTAGCCACCTATGTTTTGTTGTTCTTAACCACCTATATTTCGTTGTTCTTAACCACCTGTATGTTTCGTTGTTCTTAACCACCTGTATGTTTCGTTGTTCTTAACCACCTGTATGTTTCGTTGTTCTTAACCACCTATGTTTCGTTGTTCTTAACCACCTATGTTTCGTTGTTCTTAACCACCTAATTTTCGTTGTTGCAAATAAAATGTAAAAAATAATCACTATGCTATTTCGAGCATTTTGACATACATAGTCAGTACATGAGCCGCGCCATGCTAAAAAGTCGCTTAGCATTTGCCAACAAATCGAGAAAATCACCAAATTGTCACAGTCGGCAAAATTCTACTCGAGCGCAGTCACGAAAATATTCACTTTCGAGCATCCTTTCAAGTAAATAGTTTGCAAGTGGAGAAGAAGGAAGAGGCCATTTATTTTTGAGCAACACTTCTTCAGTGTTCCGTCTTTCATTGTTGTGGGGATTTCTTGGCGCTGACGGGGAAAACTTGCTCATTCATAGTGGCTGTGGTTCTCATCGTGGCCACGACTAGAGTGGCTGGTATACCTATGTGGAGACGTCTACAAGCAGCCCGACTATCACTCTGACAAGCTCCCTAGTGAGTTGGCTCTTGCTGCGATGTTCCACTTTGTTTCGGGTACCTTCAAATGTTCATGACGTGGCGTACTGTGCTCCAAAATTTCCTCATTTCAAGGCAAGTGTCACACAACGAAGCGATGCATTGACTCTACCTGCTAGCATATCGTCCCGTGGTGCTTCTACCACTACCTACACCAGGGAAGGAGAATGACATGGACAAGGACGGATAAAGAATCAGTGTCGCTTTTTAGCGATGTGCAATCTGCTGGACCTACGTGCAAGGGACCAATGGAGCTCGATCTCTGGCACAACACTACGAGCCACAGGAAAGGATTAATTCATGCTGGCGTGGGTGATTGGAGAGAGGATGACAGACTGTCTTGGTAAGATGCGAAGTTTCCCAGCCCAGCGAAAGTATAGTCACAGACTCACAAAATCGTTGAAGGATATGAAAATTCGTGTTGCGTGATGAAATGACAGGAGATGCATAGATCAATTATTTCTTCTTTCTTGGATCTTCTAATCAGAACACAAGTGCTCGTTCTTCTTGTATTGCTTCCACACCTGCTAAGCCTTGTCTCCACTTGGTGTCCCATGTTTTCTGGAGTAGGTCTTCATAATTATTTTCTTAGTTTCATTGACACCAGGCATGCTGTGACATGTGCGAATGTATGCTTATTTATGGCACATATACATTTCAGATGGGCACCAAAATTTCCTTGATGGAAGTTGGATAGGTAGACCTCACTTTGGCATGAAAAAGAAATTTCCAAAAATTATGCCTAAGCCACCTTTTTGCTTGGCTCGGCTCACATGGTACTGCATAGGGATAATTAGAAGTTCCAGATATTTCGAAGTTGGGGCCTGGAAATTTGAGGTTCGAATTAGAGGGAGTCTGCCACAGTATCATGAATAAGGCCACTTTATGATGTCATTGTTGACTTTATGATGTCATTGTTGACTTTATGATGTCATTGTTGTCTCTGAAACTTACTTGGCGCACCCAGAATGATAGATATGAAGTCTAATTGGGATGCTTATGTCTCTGTGTCTTGTTTTTCATGATTTCACGCATTTTTCGGTATCTTGACGGATGTCATTCCTTGACCAACACTTGACAGCTGTCACTACCTATTGCGATAGTACGATCGCAGTACACAATGGACATGTAACCACGTCGGGTAACAGCATTCATTCTGTTGCCACTGTTACCTGTAACCGAGGTTATCTTCCACGGAATAAGAACCCAGTGATGTGTGTTGCATACAATCAAACATTCGGCAGGTGGAACAATACACGCGCTGATGTTACATGCGATCGTGAGTGACAGATTTTGTTTCCTCCGTGTATTTGTATGCAAAATGTCACTCAAAGCGCCATTTCGTTCTTATAAAAGCACGGATGACCGCGATTGGCCCATATGTTGTAGTCTTTTAGACGCTGAGTCGACTGGTTTTGGTCCGAAAAGGCTGCGATGCAGCATTTGTCCCTTATTCCCAATCGAACATGCTTGAGCAAGCGGTCACGAGCTCCTGCGTACACCAGTCACCTGGTCACCGTGCCTGCAGGATGCAACTAGCAGCCTGTTTGACCTTTTTTGGGTGCAGTCCTGTCACTCGAGTTGAACTCGAGTTGAACCTTGGTGTGAAAGTTGTCACCTGCAGGCGAGTATTGACCCTTTACAAAGTGATACACCCCGACGCTGACCTGTGAACAAATTCCAATCATTGGAGATCATGTGAGGTTGGCTGCACATAGCACCGTCTCCAACAGTTCTAAGTCAGCTCCAAGTTAGTTCCAAGTAAAGTAGATCCCAAACATACCATGTACCATAATTATGAAGAGTGAAACACAACTAAAGAACCAATCAAAAGATGCAACAAGAAACGAACCGGCAGTGGCAAGCTGTGAACTAGCTGTACCTATTGCAGCCGCCAGGGCAGTTGCTGGTTGGCTGTAGCTGCTTGGAGCTGACCACCATCATCATCAGACACTATCACGAAACAGCAACTATTGCAGCGAAGCGGTGAAAACCTGCAAGAAAGCAAAAGCCATGGCATAGATCACAGACGCAATAGGAAAAGTCAGTGCAGGTCGTTCCCCCCCCCCCGTTAATTCAAGTCCGGTTAGTACATAAAACCAGTTTGTGCATTAGCGTGTCAGATATCCAACACCCTGTTGGTTTGTGAATATTCCAGATAACTGAAGCTTAATTATCACTGATCTACCAACACTTCAATTACCAACACTTCTGAACGATTTTCATACATGGTCACACATATTATCACAGATTGGGCTCATATTGATGTGGGAAATGTAGTCGTGTGTGACTTAAGGCCGATTCACAATACAACTTCTTGCGACGGGACTTGCGACGAGCTGCTACGAGCTGCGACAGCGACACGGTTCACAATCGTTTTCATGCTTGCGACATCCCGCCCTATAGGCGTTATAGGGTTAAAAAGGCCTTATGCACTAGTAGTAGAGTAGGTATGGGTTATAGCGTGGGTGTTTGAAAAACGACTTTCTATTCTTATTTCTGATATTTCTTACACACGTTACATCAAGTGTGACATCATATGCATGTGTGCAGGGGCAGGAAGATCATCGTACGTGCAACGTAGTGCTACTGTGCATGCGTCTGGTCATAGTCCCATAGGCTTACCATGCGGCTATCCAATATGAGTTACATGACCACAACAGTTGAACCTGCAGCACTACAACGCAACGCGAGTCAGATCAAAACTACATGGGACAGATGTTATTACTACACTCACAGGCCATACACTTTGTACTAATCTGGCATGTTTCGCTACACAAAGTCCATTCTTAGGACTAGTGTTGAAACGATCTCATCGGGTACTCGTTAGCTCGCTCGCCAGAAACTCGGCTTGTTTGTGCGGCCAGCTCGTTTGCACTAACGGACACCGTACACCGTAATCCGCACACATGGCAGTACAAGTCGAGCAGGGAGTCGGAAATATTTTTTACGACTCCTGGTCGATCGAGAGTCCAGTCCCACGCAAAGTGAAAATCACTCGCAGTTACAGTGACTGCATGCCGCCTGCACGACACTGAGTTGTTTCAGTTGTCGTTCCAGCTTTGGTGGACTCCACTGATGTCTTGTTCCGCATCTGCTGACCTGCTGTAGGGCAAACTTCTGTCAACTCTCCATTCGAGTGAAAGTTGCGCTCAGTCGTTTGGAAGTTTTCTCCCGCGATGCAGCGAAGAACAGGGCTACAGTCTTTGCAAAACGGTCTATTGTTACAAAGGCTGCTCAATGACGGCGCTGAAAAGACATCTCGACACCAAACAGCAGTCCAAAGTGAAGCAGCAGCATCCCCAAACGTCGGCGGTGATAATTTGGACCAGCTGAATTGAAAAAAATCGAACTTAGGAAAATATATATTTGAAAAATCATTATTTGCCACATCAATGAAGCTCGTTAGCTCACTCGATAGCTTGCTCGTTAGTGGAACTGATCGCTCGTTTGTTATAGATTATGCTCGTTTCAACCTTACTTAGGACCGCTATATTCTACTATGCGATAAAATTGCTTGTAAGAACAAAAGTGCACTTGAAATCCATGTTATGATTATGAAAACATGAGAGTTCATTCTTGTAGGCGGTGTATTCTTTTACACGACCACGCTATAACCGATATGCACTGTACTATGCACATGCAGTGCACGTGCACCCAGGGTCGAAATTGTACTCAATTTGTGTATGTCACGTGTCGCATGTCACAAAAGTTGAACTTTCTTCAACTTAAGGGCGATTCACAATACAACTTTCTGCGACGCGACACGCGATTTGCGACAGTTGCGACAAGAAACTGTCTGTCGCGAGCTGTCGCAATACACCTGTCGCAGAAGTTGAAGAAAGTTCAACTTTTGCGACATGCGACACGCGACATACACAAATGGAGTACAGTTTCGACCCTGGGCGCACGTGCACTGCTTGTGCATGAGGATGTCGCAAACATGAAGAATATTGTGAACCGTGTGTCGCTGTCGCAGCTCGTCGCATGTGTCGCAAGTCGCATGTCGCGTCCCAGAAAGTTGTATTGTGAATCGGCCTTCATGCGACAGGTGCCTTGCGACAACTTGCCACAGCTCGCGACAGGCAGTTTCTTGTCGCAACTGTCGCAAATCGCGTCGCGTCGCAGAAAGTTGTATTGTGAATCCGCCTTTATCCAGCGGTGAGTCCCTCCGGCTTGAAGGTTATCTGACAGCGTGCTGGCAGCTCAAGTTTCCCAATATGGTGCATTAAAGCACCCCGAATTTTGCCTTATTATCACCGATGGGGCTCATATTGATGTGGGAAATGTATAAACACAATTTTCGTATACGAAAAGAATGCCAAAAGAAAGGTATAATGTGCATGAACAAGGCAAAATCCGGGGTTTTTCAAAACGGTTTTCATGGACCACATTGGGAAACTTGAGCTGCCAGCTTGCTGTCAGATAGCCCCCAAGCCGGAGAAACTGACCGCAGGATAAGTCACACACACGACTGTACATAAGAAATCTCAAGTTCAGGAGGAAACGTGTTCACTTCCACCCAAATCTGTTGGTTACTACATTATACATCAGTACAGGAACCTCGTTAAGGATACATAGCATTTCATCCATGCCCACATGTGAATTACCTCAATAGTAGACAATTGCGGTTGGTCTGCTGGCCTCTCAGTGGAAACACATCCTGTTCCAGTTTCTTCTGGTGGACGCAATTAGCTCAGAAATCAGAGCGCACATCGCCAACCGCCAAGCTCTGTTTTTTTCTTTCTTATCTTGAGTGATTACGCAGCCAAGGCAGAGCATGCATCATGCACACTGTAGAATCTCCACTGACTGTGAATCGTTGCAACATATTTTTTATGAGCGTTCCCGCTCCTGCTGTGAAAATAAAAGTCTGCTTGTCCCTCGGTGCATGAAACTAGAACAGTTACAGTGTAGAGAACATCATTCCTATCATCTCCTCTGCTTGTGTATTCTGCTCTTCAAAACATGCCTTATCATCTCCTCTGCTTGTGTATTCTGCTCTTCAAAACATGCCTTATCATCTCCTCTGCTTGTGTATTCTGCTCTTCAAAACATGCCTTATCATCTCCTCTGCTTGTGTATTCTGCTCTTCAAAACATGCCTTATCATCTCCTCTGCTTGTGTATTCTGCTCTTCAAAACATGCCTTATCATCTCCTCTGCTTGTGTATTCTGCTCTTCAAAACATGCCTTATCATCTCCTTTGCTTGTGTATTCTGCTCTTCAAAACATGCCTTATCATCTCCTTTGCTTGTGTATTCTGCTCTTCAAAACATGCCTTATCATCTCCTCTGCTTGTGTATTCTGCTCTTCAAAACATGCCTTATCATCTCCTCTGCTTGTGTATTCTGCTCTTCAAAACATGCCTTATCATCTCCTCTGCTTGTGTATTCTGCTCTTCAAAACATGCCTTATCATCTCCTTTGCTTGTGTATTCTGCTCTTCAAAACATGCCTTATCATCTCCTCTGCTTGTGTATTCTGCTCTTCAAAACATGCCTTATCATCTCCTCTGCTTGTGTATTCTGCTCTTCAAAACATGCCTTATCATCTCCTCTGCTTGTGTATTCTGCTCTTCAAAACATGCCTTATCATCTCCTTTGCTTGTGTATTCTGCTCTTCAAAACATGCCTTATCATCTCCTTTGCTTGTGTATTCTGCTCTTCAAAACATGCCTTATCATCTCCTTTGCTTGTGTATTCTGCTCTTCAAAACATGCCTTAGCAATCACTCCAACTACAACTCCAACCACCACTCCGACCACCACTGCAGCAACAGAAGCCAACAACAACAACAAGCCGCAGCAGCAGCAGCAGCAGCAGCAGCTGGAGCCCGGTAAGGAGGAACCAGAAGCCACTTATTCTGGTGACTAGTCATACTATGACTTGGCCTTATGTGTTTGCTTCAAATTCCTTGAGTACAGTGCTTCTGCTTGCGCCAATTCCTGTCTCTCCACTGCGGATTAGTTTGTGTGTTAGCACACCCACCCTGTCCTTTGATCAGCACCCCCCCCCCCTCTCTCTCTTGATTAGCACACCAATCCTATCCACTGATCAGCACACCCACCCTATCCCTTGATCAACACACCCACCATATCCCTTGATCAGCACACCCACCCTATCCCTTGATCAGCACACCCACCATATCCCTTGATCAGCACACCCACCCTATCCCTTGATCAACACACCCACCATATCCCTTGATCAGCACATCCACCATATCCCTTGATCAGCACACCCACCCTATCCCTTGATCAGCACACCCACCCTATCCCTTGATCAGCACGCCCACCCTATCCCTTGATCAACACACCCACCCTATCCCTTCATCAGCACACCCACCCTATCCCTTGATCAGCACACCAACCCTATCCCTTGATCAGCACACCGACCCTATCCCTTGATCAGCACACCCACCCTATCCATTGATCAACACACCAACCATATCCCTTGATCAACACACCCACCATATCCCTTGATCAGCACATCCACCATATCCCTTGACCAGCACACCCACCCTATCCCTTGATCAGCACACCAACCCTATCCCTTGATCAGCACACCCACCCTATCCCTTGATCAGCACACCAACCCTATCCCTTGATCAGCACACCCACCCTATCCCTTGATCAGCACACCAACCCTATCCCTTGATCAGCACACTCACCCTATCCCTTGATCAGCACACCCACCCTATTCCTTGATCAGCACACCAACCCTATCCCTTGATCAGCACACCTGCTGTGTACGTGATGTGATAAGGCGCGCATGCGCGCCTGGGCTCGTGGCTGGTTTTGCATGCTTGCTGTGCTGGACTAGGTCCGAGAATGTGAGCTCTCTTTTCCTTGCCTTTCTGTTCCTTGATTATTACAATAACTGTACGAACCTGAGTAATGCTGTGTGTGGGCCCTTAGGGCCAGACATAACAATTGGCGACGAAGATGGCAGGACGCAACTCCAGATTAGAAATTTTCGAGACTGGGGATTTTGACGAGTATGCAGAGAGACTCAATTTTCATTTTCTGGCTAATGACATTGGCCAAGTTGCTGACGATGCAACCGAGACAGTACAGGCAGCGGCAGACAAGAAAAAGTGCGCCGTGCTGATTAGTCAACTATCCGGTCAGGTTTATTCCACATTGAAGAATTTGTGCCTCCCAGATAAACCAGGGCAGAAGAAGTTCGAAGAGTTGCTGAAGCTCCTCTGTGATTATTTCAAGCCCAAGATCAGTGTAGTTGCTGCCACCTATCAATTTCAGAAAACCCTGCAGAAGGAGGGCGAGTCTGCGATCATGTTCGCGGCTCGATTGAAACGGGCAGCCATGGACTGCAAGTTTGAAGCTTATCTCGACAGGGCCTTGCGTGACCAGTTCATCACTGCGATCGGTTCTACCAGCACGACGAAGGAAATCCTGGCGAAGGCTGAGGAGACGACAACATTTCAGCAGGTTGTCGACATGGCCACGGCTCATGAGACAGCTTTCCGCGAGTCTGAGAAGTTTTCAACGCAGGTTCATGCAGTACGCGGAGAGCCGGGGCTCGCCGACAACGCCACGTTCAAATCTGACAAGCCCTGTTTCCGCTGTGACAAGCTGGGACATCGACCGGATGAGTGCCACTTCAAATCTGCGAAGTGTCGTGCTTGCGGCAAACTGGGACACATCGAACGAGCCTGCCTAAAGAAGAAAGCGGCCAGGTCCGTCAAGCATGTCGGGACAACATCAAACCCCGGTGAGCTTGTTCCTTGTAATGATTCTGTACCGATGTTGAATGTGAATGCCACCATGAGTGACAGAGCTGTAGCACCGTACACTACGCCTGTCGAGCTAAATGGGGTCCAGGTGCACTTGGAAATTGATACGGGTAGCACCGTCACACTGCTAGGAAAAAATGATTTTCTGAAATGCAATGGCTCCGTGTCTGAGCTGGTACCATCCAGCATCACCCTATCTACATACACAGGAAATCCAATCAAATGTCTGGGTGAAATCGAAATGAAAATGGCTTTGGGTGGTGTAGAGGAGAATGTTCTGGTCAGAGTTACTGAATGTGGTGGTCCTTCTCTCTTAGGCCGGGATGTCTTGTCCAGATTTACTTTGCCATGGAAATCTATATTCAAAGTGGGCACTGGCGGGCAATCCACTACCGATTTCGTTAAGAAATACCCGAATCTGTTTGACAACTCCACTGTGGGTACGGTGCAAGGGGTGCAAGTAAAGCTGCACGTGTCAGATGAACAACCGGTCTACAAACGAGCAAGACCAGTACCTCTAGCAATTCGACAGCGGTACATCGACGCGTTGAACAAACTCGAGGCTGATGGGGTGATTGAGAAAGTGACGCATTCCGAATGGGCCTCACCAACGGTACAAGTAGAGAAACCAGGAGGAGGATTACGGATTTGCGCAGATTACAGTGGGACTATTAACAAGCATTCAGAATGTGAACAGTACCCACTCCCCACCCTCGAGGAATTGTTGCACAAGTTGGGCCCGGGAGGGAAGTTTACCAAACTCGACTTGTCCCAAGCATACCACCAGCTAGAGGTAGCACCGGAAAGCAGGAAATACACCACCATCAACACAATTCAGGGCCTGTACCAGTACAAACGCTTACCGTTTGGTTTCCACAGTGCTGTATCCATTTTCCAAAGGGTAATGGAAGAAACCTTGGTTGCGCTACCAGGCAGCGGCGGGTACATTGATGATGTGCTGTGTACCGGTGAAAATGATGAAATCCATGAGGAAAACGTGGACCGGGTACTCCATCGACTGGATGAGAAAGGTTTCAAATTGAATCCTGAGAAATTCTGTTACATGGCTGAAGCACTCTCTTACTTAGGTCACACGATCAGTGGGCAGGGCGTCTCCCCTTCAACAGCCAGGATACAGGCACTGAAAATGGCCAAACCACCACAGAATGTTGCCGAATTGCAATCTTTCATCGGTTCTGCAAATTTCGTGCGGAAGTTTGTGCCTCATTTCGCAGAAATTGCAGCTCCTTTGTACGACCTCTTGAAAAAGGGTGGGAAATGGCACTGGGAGACCACTCACGAGCAAGCTTTTGGCAAATTGAAAGATGCTATGTGTTCAGAAGCCCTACTGGCACACTATGATTTACAAAGGCCAACAGTGTTGCAAGTGGATGCTTCGGGAGTGGGCCTTGGCGCAGTCCTACTGCAGAAGCAGGAGAATGGTGAATTACGACCGATCGCATTCATGTCGCGTAAGCTGACCCCAGCAGAGTCACGCTATGCTCAAATTGAAAGAGAAGCATTGGCTGTGGTGTTCGGAGTGACCAAATTTCGCCAGTACCTACTCGGTAGAGAGTTCATAGTGGTCACTGATCATCGGCCACTCTTGAAGTTACTGGGAAATCACGAGGATGTCCCCACTCTCGCCTCTAATCGAATCAAGAAATGGGCATTGCAACTGGCGGCATATGATTACGAAATGCAGTATCTCGCGGGGAAAGAAAACGTCCATGCGGATTTTCTCTCGCGACAACCAATGCAATCTGTGTCACCGAGCGAGGAGGAGACCGTCACGGTACAGGTCTTGCTTATCGAGAACGACTCAATAATCAAAGCAGCTGTGGTGAGAGCAGAATCGGCAAAGGATTCTGTATTGGCTAAAGTAATTCGCTATACGGTTAATGGGTGGCCTGCTGAAATTGAGGAAGACCTCAAGGCATATGCTAGCAAGAGAATGGAATTGTCTGTGGAGAATGATATCTTGTTATGGGACAACCGGGTGGTGATTCCTAGCTCACTTCGAATGCTCTTGCTACGAGATCTGCATGCAGAGCATTTTGGCATGGTGAAAATGAAGCAAGTGGCCCGGCGCTACTTGTGGTGGCCCCATATTGACCAGGATATAGAATCTAAAGTCAATGCGTGTTTGCAATGCCAAGAGAATGCCAAATGCCCACCGGCAAAACCCGGTGTTTGGTCATGGCCAACGGGTCCATGGAAACGGATACACATTGATTTTGCCGGGCCATTTCTGGGAAAAATGTTCTTGGTGGTGGTAGATGCTTACTCTAAGTACTTGGATGTAATACCCATGGCTCATGCAACCAGTGCGACCACGATTTCTGCTTTACGCCATCTGTTTTCTGTGTTTGGTTTGCCTGAGCACTTGGTTACAGATAACGGCAGTCAGTTCACGAGTGCGGAATTCCAGGCGTTCCTGGATGGCAATGGCATTCTACACACAACAACGGCGCCAGGTCATCCAGCAACTAATGGCCTCGCCGAACGCTACGTTGGCGTCTTCAAGCAGAAGATGAAAGAAATGTCGAATACTGGTGAACCACTCAACGTCAGGCTCGACCGGTTTCTCTTAGCGCATCGAACAACGCCGACCACCAGTGGGAAGACGCCGGCGGAGCTGTTAATGGGCCGGCAACCGAGAATCCGGCTCAGTGCATTGCGGCAGTCTGAGAGTCATCGGCAGGTCAAGGTGTACCAGGAGAGCTTGACTACGCCAAAGTTTAACACCGGTGACGCTGTGTTCGCCCTGAACTTTGGTCGTGGAGCAACTTGGGTACCAGCTACTGTAGTGCATGTCCACAGCCCTCACAGTTTCGGAGTACAGGTGGATGATGTCGTCTGGAAGCGCCATAGGGACCAACTACGACCGCGGGCGGTGCAGTTTGGCCACGTACCCGTTTCGTCTTCTGCGGACCAGGCGGTCGCACAGCTGCCTACACCGACCAGTGACCCGCCGACAGTGCTAGATTCTCCTCTACCACTTCCGGACGCTAGCAGCAACAGTAGCACTTTCAGGCCGGATGATACGCTAGCCCCAGCAGCAGACGCCGTTGGAGTCGAGACGGCTCCCAGTGTTGTTGCACCGGCACCCTTGCGTCGCTCCGACCGGCATGTCTCCGCGCCCAAGCGCTTGATTGAGAACTGCTAAGTATCCGTACTATTGCCTTTGAGTATGTATTGCTTGTCCTGTTACTTTGATCTGATGCGGCCTGAGTGTAGGAAGTGGACATTTCTAGGCCAGATGAATATTCTACATGTAGGTCATGACGAACAGTCTTCACATAAGATTGTTTTCGTTTAATTCATTGAAACGGTTCCTTTTCCGATCTGATCTAATTCCCCAACGCTATGCAATATTGGCTGACTTTATCTGTCATTCCTACCTCGATCTATAGCTCAGCTCTCATGGACTATTCTGGAAGCTGCAGTAACTGTTATAAGTATATGTGTGCAATGTTTTTGAACTTTTTTGCTTTTGTATTATCTGGCCGTTGTAGTGTCAACAGCTATATCTGTCGGCGCCAAATTTGAGTGCCTCTTTGCTTATGTTATAATTTTACCCCGGGAAAAATTCTTGGGGGGCGATTGCTGTGTACGTGATGTGATAAGGCGCGCATGCGCGCCTGGGCTCGTGGCTGGTTTTGCATGCTTGCTGTGCTGGACTAGGTCCGAGAATGTGAGCTCTCTTTTCCTTGTCTTTCTGTTCCTTGATTATTACAATAACTGTACGAACCTGAGTAATGCTGTGTGTGGGCCCTTAGGGCCAGACATAACAACACCAACCCTATCCCTTGATCAGCACACCAACCCTATCCCTTGATCAGCACACCCACCCTATCCCTTGATCAGCACACCCACCCTATCCCTTGATCAGCACACCAACCCTATCCCTTGATCAGCACACCAACCCTATCCCTTGATCAACACACCCACCCTATCCCTTGATCAACACACCCACCCTATCCCTTGATCAGCACACCCATCCTATCCCTTGATCAGCACACCCACCCTATCCCTTGATCAGCACACCCACCCTATCCCTTGATCAGCACACCCACCCTATCCCTTGATCAACACACCCACCCTATCCCTTGATCAACACACCCACCCTATCCCTTGATCAACACACCCACCCTATCTC